CTGTTCACAGAGAGAGAGAGAGAGAGAGAGAGAGAGAGAGAGAGAGAGAGAGAGAGAGAGAGAGAGAGAGTATTGGGGCATGCCTTTCAAGAGAGGTGGTTCTCGGTTCTGGATGAGAGGTGGTCAAGGAGAGACAGGTTGATGGAAGGCCCAAAATTCGGGGTTTTTCGCCGCATTGCCACAAGCAATGTCGTCAAAAAATTCTTTAACAAACAATGCAGGCTCATAATACAGACATAAAAAAGACAAAAAAAACTCAAAAGCACTATAAAAACCTATTCGTAAGAATTTCGCAGTAGTTTTTGGAGTTTGCCAAAATTTTATCCGAATTTGTTCTTTTTGCCAACTTGTTCGTTACTGGTCCAAATACGTTGAAACTGAATACAGATATGCCCTAAAGCACATAAATATCCACACAAAAAAAAAAGACAAAGTGGCTCACATCGCCAGCGAAAAGGAGACCCTCGCGGGTTCGTGTTTTTTGGAGCACAGTGCGGATCTATCCCTTTTGGAAAAAAGTGCCTCTGAAGTACTGGTGGTTGAAGGAACATATCAAATCGCCATTTTGTTCTCTTTTTTTTTGTGTGTGTGTGTTTCTAAATGGGAAACCTGGCTGTCACTGCTAGACGAGGTGATAAGAGCAGCCCCGCCTAGCAGCGTCCAACGGTTGCTCCTTTCTATTGGTGGGGAGCTGCACCTGCTCGAAAACGGGTCCAGCGTCCCTTTTTCAAAAAAAGACAAATCTGCGAACGTCCTCCCTGCCAGCATTGATTGCCCCAGGTTCCGCCCGGGGGATTGACTGCACAGGGAGTCGGGTAAATACTGCAAGGTTAACCCCTTTATTCCCGTCCCAAGTGCCAAAGCAGGCCTTCCTCCTATCATCCTGTACAGAGTATCTTAAACCACCAGTACTTAAGTCGTGCCCGTAAACAAGCCGTGACTTTAGGAAACGTACTGATCACGACGGAAGCGCCCAACAGAAGGCTTAACTGCAACCTTGGCCGCAGAACAAATTTCCACAGCGTGCTGCAGTCTCAAAAGAAAGTCTAACACTGTCTAACATTGTTTAACAATGGTTAACAATGTTTAACGGCTCGTGATCCAAAGGGTTGCAGTTGTTTCTCATAGGTAATTGACTGATTGTTTTCCTAGCCGAAGCCGGGTAATGGCCCCGGAATTTCAAATGTGTTACATATTCTCAGTTGTACTTCAAAGGGACGCTGAGCCCGGTTCTCAGCACGTGATGCT